GAGGCGGGGGGCGGGAAGGGGCAGCGAGATCCTTCGGGATTGGGAAAAAATATTGGAAAAAAAACTCTGGAAACGCAAAGAAAACCCAGGGAAACCGTCAGGGATTCCCGGGAGTAACATCAAAGAGAAGTGAATACAAGGTTTGAAAAATAGCACGTTAAAAATCATCCTGCAATGACAAGGATAAGGTGAGAAATCATTCTGAAAATGCAGGAATAAGATAAAATCATTGTAGGACTGAAAGAATAAGATAAAATCATTCTAAGATTGAAAGAAAAAATATTCTAAGATTGACAGAATAAAATAAAATAATTCTAGATTGGAAAGATTAGGAGTATAAACCCATTCTTGAATGGAAAAAAATAAGAAAAATCAGATTAATTAATTCTAGAATCCGAAGTATAAAATGAGTCTAAAGTTTTCAACATTAATATAAGAGTAAAATAATTCCAGAATTGCAAGAACAAGACAAGGAAACCTGGCAATTATAATATATAGAAAGATAAAATATTTCCAGAATTTTAAGGACAAGATAAGAAAACAACCCTGGGTTGGGAAAAAAAAATATATAAAATAAAACTATTCTGGGATTGCAAGAATGACACAATAAACTTGTTCTAGAATGGCAGGAAATACGAGAAAAGTCTTCCAGAATGGTAAGAACAAGAGAAAATAGGTATAGATTTGAAAGAAGATAAAATCTAGAATGGTAACAATAAGAAGTTTGTTCTAGGATTGTAAAAATAATTTATTGTAGATTTTATGTAAATAAAATAATTCTAGAAAGGCAAGAATCCCTGCCCCAATTCCCTTCTCTGATCACATGCTCCACCCAAAAGGTGTTTGTTTTTCCATGAGGAATCCCTGCAGTGGGAATCTCTCTCCCTTCAGGATCAGCCCGAGGTCAGCTCTGGTTACATGGGAAGGGAGTAATTCACAGGATCTCAGAATCACTAAAATTGGGAAAAACCCCTAAAATTGAGTCCACCCATCCCCAGCACTGCCCAGGCCACCACTGCCCCATGTCCCCAAGCACCACATCCACACGGATTTTAAATCCCTGCAGGATGGGGACTCCCCTTTGCAGGAAGGGATTTTCCCTAATATCCAAATTAAAGCTCCCCCAGCTGGCACTCAGTGCCACTTCAGTGTGCTGCCTCCAAGCCATCACATTTTCCAAGGAATGGGATCCCTAAACACTTCTGAAGGGATCTTTGATCCCTGCTGTTCCCATCTCCCAGTCATGAAGCAGCTGACAAGACAGGAAATAAAAGAATTTGTGGATATGCTCAACCTTTTGGTGTCTTCCCCAGAAAAATACCAGCAGTTAATTCCTGGAATACCCTGGCTGGAAAACTCCTTGGACAAAACACAAATCCACACGTCCATAGAAGGGTTTCAAAATTTATTAAGTCAACACAGTGAAACAAATTCAAGAATCATCGGAGGATTAAGAAACAAAGTTTCAGGCACGTATTTAGAAAAAAGACATTTCTGATATCACAAAGAAAAACCCCCAAAACCACATTTCCTCTGGTAGAAACCCAGCGATGCTGGTCCCTGCTCCCAGTGGGAATGTTGTAACCTTTAAAAAAATGAAGCACCTGGAATTAACCGGTCTGGATGCGGTTTCTCCTCCCTTGGGAAGAGCGGAGTGCAGTCCTTGCCGTGGGCAGAGCTCAGAGCCTCACCTGGGAAAGTTTGGGATAAATCCACTTTGTCCTTCCAGGAAGGAACCACCTACCCCACAAAAAACACCAAACTCTGAGCAAAGCCCCGGCAACAGCGAAAGGGAAACACATTCTAAGGGAGGTTCTCTCCAGCTAAACATTGTGTTCCAACCAGAGGAGATTCCAGAGGGGGACGAGAGTCGGGCCAGGCGCGTCCCCTCGCTCCCAGAGGGATTTGTCTCCGCAGGAAACGCCTCCAGGCTCCTCCATCCCCAGACACAGTGGACAGAGCCGGTGTCACCCATTGCTCTGGAGGTGCCTGTCCAGGAACTGGGAATAGCAGTCCAGGGAGCAGAAGTAGCAGAGGACGGGAGCGTCCGTGCCCCCCATGTTGTCCACGAGCACCACGGTGTGCGCCACGTGGTGCAGGTTCATGGTCACCGTGATCTGGATGAAGCTGCTCAGGCAGGAGCTCCCACACCGACACGTTTTGGCCACTTCCAGATCCTTACAGAGGTGGGAAGGGAGGAGGTGACAGCCGTAAGGGATTCTGTGGGATGAGAGGAGTGAGGGGGGGTTCAGCACAGTTACCTGTGGCGCCTGAAGGCACTGACAGGACACGGGCACCAGCTGGGAAATGCCATTCCCAGGGCACACTGTGCCTTCAGTTGTAGCTTTTGTGTTTTCCAGATTCTGTACTGCATTAGTGTGTGACTCTGAACTTCACATAAAGCGTGAGAGTTCTCCTCACAGCTCAGTCAGACACAACAATCCTTTTCCAGCCACTGCTGCAGGTTCAGGCCCCAAAAGTGTAAACAAAATCAAAATGATGGAGCAATCTGGGAGGATGGGGCTTCGTAACCTGAAGCTGTAATTGGACAATGTGGAAATGGACCTAAACTTACAGAAGTGTGAAAACTCCTGACCCAGGGTCCATCTGGTACTGCCCAAGGTGCATCCTTTGAAGGCTTTTTTAATAAATATCTGCTTTATTCCTTTAACTCTGCCCAGCCTCTCTAGGCATCCCCCAGACATGGAAGACCAGAGATTTGGGACTGGTTAGGAACAAAATGCCACTTCCCTAAGGACATGAACTCCACGACAGGGAGCTCACAGCAATCCTGGGCCACAGCCAGTTACAGAGTTAGAAAGATTAAGAGTAATGAGAATTAGAGAATTAAAGGAAGATTAAGAATAATGAGACAACTGGGCACATTCTGTTCTTCCCTCACATTCTCTGTGTTTGGGCCTGGCCTGGCACAGCACCCACAATTTACTCCTCCCTCTCTTACACCGAGGAGTAGCAGCATTGAACCACAACTCGGAAAAAGCAGGAGATGAATTGAGCCTTTTGCAGCAGCACTGCCCTGCAGGCATGAAATGAAAAGTTTCTCCTGCTCCACAGCTCTCTGCATCCATCGTGTCAGCACTGACATCCAGAGCTGGGAACGGGAATTGCTCCTTTTGGAATTTACAGCGGAGCAGTGTGGAGTTTGGGGTGGAAATGATTCCCCTGAGGAATTCTGTCGGGGTAGCTGAAGTTTGGGTCTCAGCAGTGCCCAGCTGGCACTCCAAACTCAGCACAGATCCCACTGACTCACATCCTGCCTCCACCTACACATTCCCCAGCCTTTCCACACACCATCACTCACACAGCTAAGACTCCTCTGGGGCTTTTTGTTTTTCACCACCTTAATTTCAGAACACCCTTTTTTTCTGGGAAAAGCAGAATCATGTACTCTGGTACTTTCCCAGAATCCAGACTGATTTCCAAACATTATTTTTGCATCTTCTCCTTCTGTTTTATCCCTTTCCCAAGGTTTTTACAGCGACTGAAATCTGACCAGTGCTGAGGGATTAAATCCTCTAGAAAAAAGCCTTAATATTTACATCAAACCCACTGCAATTTATATAAAGCTGGGAAAGGAGACATGTGGGGTTTAATTATAAAACCAGCAAGGTCAGCAGTGGGTGCTTTGGCCCAGAACATGTGGTGGCTCAGCTCCTTTCAGGGTGTGCCTGTGGATGCCTTTGGTGCAAATTTCTGCACAATTACCCCGGCTTTATGGGGCACTCCCCACCCTCAAGGCAGGAACAGGCACAAGATGCAGATTAGGGACACTTCCAGCCACTCTCCCCCATTTTCTGTGCCAAATTTCTGCCTTTGTGCTCCCTTCCCACCTAGAGCAGGGTGGGAGCAGCAGCTCCTGGTACACAAGGATCAGGGGTGGAGAGGTGGAAGTGGTGTGGGGGAAGAGGAGGGAGCTGTTAACAAACAGCAGCCTGGGAGGATGGTATTTACTTGGTGAAATCGTATTTTTTTAAATGACCTCCAAGCTGGGCTTGTTTGAATGAGCCAGAACACCTTCACTCCAACGCCAAGGGAAAATGGGAGCTTAAGGAAAACCTACAGCAGGGAGAAGCCTGCAGAGAAAGTGGCTCAGGGTTGTAGAATTGATTCTCTTTTCCCAAAGTTGGCCAAAAATATTCTGTTCATCCCCCCTTGATGGATGAAAACACTTCAATCTCTGTCTTTCCTTAAATGCTTCCAAAGGCACCAATTCCCTGCCTTATCCTGATGACTTGACAAGGGGAATTCAAAGGAATTTTAATCTTATGAAGATAATGGGTGAGAAAACAGGCACTGAGGGGAAAGGAAAGGACCAGGTGAGAAGGAGCAGTGCCAGGTGTGCCCTCACCACCCTTACCTGTGATTGACCGTGGCCCTGGCAGCACACTCCAACAGAGTCAATGGGATTTTCAGCTGGATGTTTGGAACCAGCGGATTGGGCTGCTCAAAAGGATTCCCAAAGAGATCCAAGTTCTCCAGAGAGAGTTTCCTGAAGTCACAGGGCAGGAAGGGCAGCTTGTTCCGTGCGGCCGACAGGAAGCGCAGGCGGCTCAGCTGCCCGATCCTGCAGGGCAGGCGCAGCAGGGCGTTGTCATCCAGCCGCAGCTGCACCAGGCCCCGCAGCTGGCAGAACTCGATGGGCAGCGCCTGGATCTGGTTCTGGCTCAGGTCCAGGAACTGCAGGGATTTCTGCAGGCCCGAGCTGCACAGGGCCCCGCTGAAGGCCTCCAGGTGGTTGTCGTGCAGGTCGAGCTCCTGCAGACACACCAGGTCCCCCAGCGTGGCCGGCAGCTGCTTGATGTGGTTGTGGCTCAGGTCCAGCTTGCGCAGCTTCTTCAGGCACAGCACCCTGCTGTCGATCCTGGCCAGTTTGCAGTACGAGGTCTGCAGGTGCTCCAGGGAGAAAGGGAAGCTCTTGGTGAGGGGATAATCCCTCCTGGAAGTGATGATCATTTTGGTTTTGGGTTTCTCCACGTCGGAGTTCTTTGCTGGGACCAGAGGTGAGAGAGGGAGAACTCCGGTGTCGTTGCCTTGGTGAGCCAGTCTCACGGCTGAAAGGAAAGTCTTTAAATTGATCACATTTGCCTGCAGGGGAACACAAGGCTGGAGTTAAAAAAGTTCATTATCCTGGTTATTAACACCTTCTGGGCTGTTTTGTGTGCGTCACTCAGCAGGGCAATGGGATGGGAGAGGGAACAGCTCTGTTATGAATAATCCGGGTCAAACTGTGCTGCAGCACCCAGGGAAGGAACAAAGCACCGAATCCACAGCTGGAAATGAAGGAGAGAACAAAACCTCCAAGCACTGGGAGCCCCCTAAAACCTACCAGGATAAAAAGAACGAACACAAATGGGGAAATCAGAGGTCAAAAACCTGAAGCAATAATTCCTGGAAGTTGCTAGGAAGGAAGAGGATGGAAGGAATGGAAGAAAGAGGACGGAAGCTGGAGTTGAATTCAGCAAAAGGAAGGTGGAAGCTAAGTCGGTGCTTGTGGCCACACACAGGGGCAAATTCTTTATACACAAGGACCAAATAATGCTTGAGGTGGGATACAATATTTTGGCAGTAAATCCCAGGATGGTTTGGGTTGGAAAGGACTCAAAGCCCATCTAGTTCCATGGCAGGGACACCTCCCACTGTCCCAGGTTGCTCCAAGCCCTGTCCAGCCTGGCCTTGGACACTCCCAGGGATCCAGGGGCAGCCACAGCTGCTCTGGGAATTCTATTCCAGGGCCTCCCCATCCTCACAGGGAAGGATTCTTTCCCAAATCCCACCTACTGCTGCCCTCTGGCATCAAAGGCTCTCTCTCACTCCCAATATCAGAGCATCAAGTGGTGTGTATTTTAAATAATGATCCAGAAAGCTCTGATGCATCTGTTGCACTGATTTAATTCACTTTCATGAACATCTGTGACCAAATATTTCCCTTCTAGATTTTCCAGCATGTCTCTGCTCGAGCTGATGTGCGGCTGGCAGGCACTGAGCTAAAAAGTGAATTCCAAAATAAAAACCACATTGCCACCATAGAAGGAAAAGAACTAATTTGGACTTCAGAGAGCCCACAGGTTGTCCTTGCGTTCCCAGTTGTCACCTGCCCAAGCTCAGGAACACATTTTGCACCTCAAACACAATTTTGCCCCTAAACGTTTAGACGAAATCTGAGAGGGTTCAGGACTAGAGCACTCAGCAGAAGAAAACAAAGATACTTGAGACAATCCTGGATAGAAATGTGAGAGAAAAAAAGACATTAGAGGTCAAACTTCATTGACTGCATCTGTAAAGTAAAATTATCATTTTCCAAAGCACAATTCCTGCTGTGACACCTTCCAGAGGTGGGGAAGTTGCACAACAAACTTTCTTTGTATCCAAGGTTATCCAGAGAAGCTGTGGCTGCCCCTGGATCCCTGGAAATGTCCCAGGCCAGGCTTGGAGCAGCCTGGGACACCGGAAGGGGTGGATGGGTTGGGATTTAAGGTCCCCAAACCATCCAGGGATTCTAAGACCACCAGCCCTCGTTATCTCAGAAGTCTAACACACACATTAACAGCTACAGAATTTCCCTTAATTCCAGGCATGTTTGTGCCATTGCCAAGATAACTAAATTAGGAATTAAATCCAAAAGGTCCTGCAGATCTGTAAGGACCAAGTGAAATCAATACTGTGCACCAGAATGAAGTTACAGGCAGGATTTCTTTGCTCTCAAACACAAAGCACAATTCCCCCCACCAAGGGCCATGTAAGATCTCCAAACCTCTTGATGAGAAACCCTGAATGTGCTGAGGAAAATACTCACACACCTAAGGGGAAAAAAAAAATAAAAAAAATAAAAAAAGCCAATTATTATTTGGAAGAGCTCAGGATGGAATTTCCTGCCCCAAGCCCAAAGTCTCAGCCACAGAGATGATGCTGGGAAAGGAGTTTAAAGTGTGTTGGTGCCTCCATGAGCGCTGCCGAGGAAATCGGAGCTAAGGTGGCTCCAGGGAAGCAGGCTCAGACCTGCTGAAGGGAAATAAACCCCACAAAACACCCAGAATTTATTATTTCTGCTCTAGGGTTGAATGCTCTGCCCTGATGTTTCCCAACTCTGTTCCTGACCTGGCTGAGTGCAGCAAATCCAGTGCCTGGCAGAGCACAAGCAGGGATTTTCCCATTTCCAGTATTTGGAAATCTCTTTTCCACAAAGTTTTTGTTCACCTTTGAGAGTTAAGAAGCTTTTCTGTAATGAAGTAATAAAAATCTTGCAGAAAACTACAGAAAAATGATGAAACATCTTAAATTTGGGTTCTGGATTTGGAGAGCTTAAGAGGAACTTGTAATATTTTGAGATCAACTTTCTGATTTTTCACTCTCCAGCAAAAAAAATTCAGAGTAAAGGAAGCAGAATTTATTCTGAATCTAATACAAAAGCCTTATTTTTTCCAAAATACAGAGCACATTGGCTTCTCACAGAAAAAAAAATACCTGGGTTTGGTGTCCTCCCTTCCTATTTAACCCTTTAACAGGTTCACAGAATTCAGGCTGCTTTCCTCAGATTCAGGTAACAGAAAGGAAGAAGGATTTTCTGACCCATCAATCAACATGATTTGCTTTTATTTACACAGCCTGACTCTAAAAGTTTTACATAAGAACTCAGAGGTTTTAGAAAACCTGGCCCACTTTTCTCTCCTATGAGGCTAAAAAAGATACCTGCAACAGGCAGAGAAGAAAAGGATATGAGAATTTAGTGATAATACACGTTTTTTTGGTGAGTTTAGTGCTGTTAAAAACACTTTCCAAGTCCTCTGGGAACTGTGAATAAATACATTGGTATCTGAAATAAGGTGAGACGGTGCCTGTGTGTGCTATGAAAGCCATGGTGAGCATGCTGATGTTTTTGTCCATGAAAACAAGAGGACTCTCCATTTTCTTTCCATGAGAAAAACTATAAGGAACAATTATTTCATGAAATTTAAGGCCAAAGATCAACATTGCATCAGAGGGCTGAAAAAAGTTTTTTTTTCTGAAGAAGCTGTGAAGCAAAGCATGAAAATAGATTTCTGAAGCAGAAGAGGAAGAAGAACACAGCCGAGAAAAGAGGGAATGGCTTCCCAGTGGGGCAGGGATAGATGGGATATTGGAAAGGGATTTTTGGCTGTCAGGGTGGGGAGGCCCTGGAACAGAATTCCCAGAGCAGCTGTGGCTGCCCCTGGATCCCTGGCAGTGCCCAAGGCCAGGCTGGACATTGGGGCTGGAGCAGCCTGGGACAGTGGAAGGAGTGGAACGTGACGGGATTTAATGTCCCTTCCAACCCAAACGTTCTGGAATCCCACCGTCCCTTCCCCGCTTGCCGCGGCGGCTCAGAGCCTGCAGAGCCGC